CTTCATACACATTAAGCGGTTATCTTATCGAAGTTGTACTTGTCACTTGTTGGCAATCGAAATTAGATTAAGTATATGGGTTCACTAGTTCATGAATAAACTCATACACTACCACCAGATTCATGTAATCATTCAAGCAATAGTGGTAGGCTATGAATTTTAAAATTTCATTTGTAATGCCTGATCCTATAAAACATGTACTATATGCACTAACCGCATACTAGTAAGGGATGAAAATGTTCATGCACATTATAATGATACATTTACTATCTTGGAGTAGAGGATAGTCATTAGATTCCAATTAACCTCCATAATAGCAATGTGAAGTCCAATTTATAGTTTGGTGAAGACAAATATTAGTATTTCAATTACATTCTTCACCCATATGAAGTGAGAACCACTTATAGTTAAGTGCACTTTTTTTGCTGTGGTTGACTTGCTTCATCATTTACCATTGCTTGCTTGAGAGCATCAAATGTAAGAATACCACTTGAATTTCAATGATTAGCTCTCTTTTGGGTATTGCTTGCTTTCTAGATCAACCCTTTTGATTTTCTTCAACTAAGCATCTCAAATATTTCTTAGATCACCACTTCTATTTTAGCCATCCAAGCCCCATGCTCGGTTTACCTACAAAAGGCGGCAAGTCCATACAATAGGGAGAAGTGACCTCTCTCCAAAGAACCATTCTTGACACTCACTTGAAATGAACATGTTTGATTGATCCATATAATGGACTTAACTTGATGAGTAACCATGAATTCTTCTTCTTTAAGTCATTTTCTTTCTATTTGTTTAATTCCTTTTCTTTCTACCAAATGGTCTCCAATTGTTACTAGAACTTAAACTCCATCTTCATTTTGAGTTTGATCTTGATCTTCAACTTGAGTATCAAATGTTTGCTAAATACACTCCACAATCAAATGGCATTTTACTCATTATGCTTCTAGATCAATCCAAAACCAAACTTAGGTCTATCAACCATTTATAAACATGTTTCCCACTTGAGGACCTTTTAGTCAAAGTGACTCTTGATTAATCCAATATTTGTCACTTTTCTGGCAAATTCTGTACCCTTCAAAGAAATATTCATATCTTCCAATGTACAGATCCAAATACCACGAAATTTTGTGAAGTTGTGCTTCACTAAGTCATCTAGTAACTCTAAAAATTTGAGCTTCATTTGGCTTCTAGATTGCTACCAGATTTCATATCTTTCCACACTGTTACATGCTGAAAACTGTTGCACTATAGCTGACAAGATCTACTCCAAAACCGAAGCAATTCTTATCCAATTATCATGAAATTTATACAGCAACTTATATCATAAGTCTAGAGCATTCATACCAAATGTCAAGCCAATTCAATAAGATTTGATCACTCGAATTCGGACTTGATCACAGCTCACTCAGATTTTCAATAAAGGATAGATTTCAATCACTTGAACTACTCTTCATCAAATGTGAATCAAACTTGAAATCAACTTGTTTGAATACTTTCACAAGATATAAATCCATTCAATCCACTTACTAAAAGTCATCTCATGAATTTATTCAACTCAAATCAATCCAAACTTAATTACTAATCAATTAATCCATTCAATCATCTCATAGCAAGCAACATAGGCATATATATCCAATTCTCATTGCTTCTGTCCTGATAATAACGGAAACTTCTTTTTCTTTTTAAATTTAACTTCAAGTTCTCATTGCTTGATGAGTTGATTGCTGATTCAAAGTACTGTTCCCATATTGAGATGGAAAAAAATGCATGGATTCCTTAGGCTACTAAGAAATATATCTATGTCGAGGTGCAAGTTGTGGCGGGTATTGTCGTACTTTGCTTCGATTGATGTTTGGCATGCTTAGATACATCCTATGCTGGAGTTTAATGAAATGCATATTCCTTGTCTGCCTTCGTCTGTAGCAAGAGCACTTTGCATTTTTAACATTTTTTTATTTGTCATGTTCATCACATTAATCCATCAGCACTGAATTTGCTGTGTTTGATAGGGAAGTTACCGTTGCAGAAAGCCCCTCCAAAAAAAAACTTGCCATACCTTAAGCTGTACCCCCTATTCCGCACCTAGCCCTGAATTTGCTGTGTTTGACAAGGAAGTTGATGTTGCAGAAAGCGCCTCCAAAAAAATCTGCCACACCTTAAGCTCTACCCCCTCTTTCGCACCTGGCACTGATGTTTGGGCAGATCTCCAGGACAACCTGCTTCTCCAAATAATTGTCCTCGTTAGCTCATTCCATGACCTCCTTGCTTTCATTGGCACCTGCCGCTCTTGGCGCGCTGTGCTCTCTTCCCTCCCACCTGCATTTACCTTCAATATCCCACCTCTCCACCTTCGACCATATGGTTATGATTCTCATCCCCATTGCAGGTACATCAAGCATAACCTTTTAACCAATATCAGTTGGCAGCTCGTTGATCCTGCGAAGCAAACCTCCTCCCTTAGTTGTTCAGCATCCCAAAACCTTCAGGTCCACATGCAGTATTTGGGTTGCTCATATAGTTATCTTATCTTCTCCAAATTGGAGCAATGCCTCCTTGTCGATGTGTACAGTGGTGCTACCGTGAGGCCTCCCTAACTCAAAATCACTGACAACCGTAGTGTCTACTATGGAGCCCATGTAGCTCCAATCAATTTATCTAATTCATGTCTCCTCTTTTGCTCAAGATCATCCATGTTTCAGTGGCAGGTTGGATCAAACTTTTGGTCTGAGCACCCCTTGGGTGTCGAATGCCTTGTTCAAATCGTGTCCTTAAAAGGTGAGGTATTTGCCATTGACTCCCTTGAGAGGCTCCACAGAATACAGTTGGAACCTCAGCTGAGCATGCAGGAAGTAGCAGTTGTATGGGATGTGGACATGTTTCTAGGCCTGTGTCATGCACAATGGTTGGTGGTCTGTGGTGACATGCTTCTCCTGGTTCACTTGTCAGTAAGCATCGATGCCTTTTCTGGATTACCTAGAACCTTTAATGTCTTCCGACTCGACTTTGAGGTTGAACCAGCTAAGTGGGTAACAATGGATGATTTGGGAGACAATGCCCTCTTTGTTAGTATTGATAGGAGGAATCCAACATTTTCTTGCCTGAGTCCCAAGAAATGGGGTGGGAAAAGGATCTGTATTTACATTGCCAACCCGTCTGCAGATTCTAACGAACCTTGGAGTGTGGTCGAGGTTGGTCAGGGGGTGCATGACCCAAAGTTGTGTGGTAACAGTGAAAAGAATCGATCCCGTGTCCATTGGAGGCAACTGCAAAGCCTTTAGGAGCTTCCCAGTTTTGTTTATGGTGTTGGCCAGTGACCAATCCATGCTTGCCTTGGAGTTTTGGCTATTCGTGGACATCCCTTTCCTTTGATGCTCTAATATGATGTATTAGCTAGTCCTGTGGCTTTGTTCTTTCTTAACTTGGCATTCAATGCCCTGTACAAATTGCAATTCAGATGTACTTGATGTTGATCTCATGATATATCTAGTTTCCAGACCAGATTTTCTCAATGTACTTCTGAACAGTTACTGAAATGTTTTTATAGGAGACTGTTTGCTAGAACAGAGCTTAAAGTTCATTGTAGATGCTGATTACTTGAAGTACTTTATCATTGTTGTGGAAGATTATTGTACTCCAGCCGTCCAAAAAAGAATGCAACTACGTGTTGCGTGGCACATTTGACCAAATTTCTAGTAAATACTATTCACATTTACGGCTCCAAAATAATTTATTAGAAAAATACATTTCATAATTAATTTAATGATATTTATTTGATATCATAAATATTAATATTTTTTTATCTATAATTGATCGAACTTAAGATACAAAACCACGACATTATGCTAGAATTACATTCTTTCTTGCACGGAGAGAGGATTACGGTTAGCCACATACAATTGCTCTTTGTTACAGCAATCGATGGTTGAGTTGAGTTAGGTGCTTCCACAAACACAATTGTGTTGCATCCAACTGTTGCCTTAAGTCATCTAAGAGGAACTTGTTTGCTGTCTGTTGCTGTGGATCCAGCTGTGACTCTGTAAGCAATTCCTGTTTTAGATATTTACCCTGTTTGCTTGAGTTTATTCAGAACTACTTTTTAGCTATCAAACAGTGTTTTTCTCTCACAATATTTCAGCATAAGCCAAATTTTAGTATCAAGAAAGTGATTGATATGTTCGATACGAGACTCTGAGTAAGGTTTGTTCAATTATGGTCCAACCTTTCTCTCTCTCTCTCGCGACTTTGGTCCAACGTTTCTCTTGCTATGGTCCAAGAGCAGGTGGAGGCGTGACTGTCCTTCCTAGGAGGTTTATAGCCTGTTCGGTTGGCTGGTTCGTATTGTTGCTGGTTCGTTTATGTAAGAGAAAAGTACTGCTGGCTGGTTCATGTGAATAGTGCCCATGGCTAGCCAGCCAGCCCCAGCCTAACGGGCTGTCAGTTAGCAAATATAGCAACTGCTCCCAAAGTTCACAAATATAACGCCTAGTAGCTAGAACTCTGTGACCTTCGGAACTGACTCATTCAAGGTTGCAGATTCATCCGCATCTTTTGACTGCATGGTCTGCAGCTTGTGACCTTCGGAACTGACTCATTCAACGTTGCTGCGGCGAGCTTCATTGTTCGTTCAATCGTTCATGAGCTTGTGCAAAGGCTGCCCCCTGTAATATTTGCTCAACTTTTAGCTGTCTATAAAATGAACACGGGACCAACTTATGATTTGCGACTGTGTTATAACTTGTTTGACGAACATACAATTTGTTCCTTATAATAGTACATAACCTTCTGCAAGTTAATTTATGCACCCAAATTGCAAGTTTGATTCCTGAAATCAAAGAACATTTTGCAAGTACCGAACTCTGATCTCAAAAACCATGCACAGATCTACTAAACAGTTCCAACAACAAGGACGACACTATAGCGCAAAGACCGTGCCATCTACAGAGCTACAGATCTACTAAACATGAACATTCAACATCACAGCTGTAATGGTGGCCTCCCTATGCCTTCTTGGGCTCCTTGGCTGCCTTCTTGGGCGACTTGGGCTCCTTGGCGGCCGCCGCCTTCTCGGCGACCTTCTTGGGCAGGAGCACACTGTGGATGTTGGGGAGGACGCCGCCGTGGGCGATGGTGACGCCGGCCAGAAGCTTGCCGAGCTCCTCGTCGTTGCGGATGGCCAGGAGCACGTGGCGCGGGATGATGCGGGTCTTCTTGTTGTCCCTGGCCGCGTTCCCCGCCAGCTCCAGCACCTCGGCGGCCAGGTACTCGAGGACGGCGGCGAGGTAGACGGGGGCGCCCGTGCCCACGCGCTGCGCGTACCGGCCCTTCTTCAGGTACCGCCCGATGCGGCCGACGGGGAACTGCAGCCCGGCCTTGACGGACCGCGACACCGACTTCTTCCTCGGCCCGCCGCCGGCCTTCCGCCCGCCCGCGCCCTTCTTCGCCTTCCCGCCGGCTCCGGCTCCGCTCACGTCCATGGCCGGCTGGCTGCTGCTTGTGCTGCCCTTCGAGGTCGAGAGGGGGAGAGCTCGTGAGGCTGTGGGTGCGAGAGAGGAGAGCGTGTGATGACAATGGGGATGCGTAGAGTGGGATGCTTTTAAAGTTTAAACCCCGCGGAAAGGGTGGGGTGGTGGGCCCGTCGATCCGCGTGCGAACGCGATGGACGGTCCGATCGGCAGGGACATGGACGGTTGGATGGGGGATCCGGAAGGACGATCCGTGGGAGGGGTTGCTGGGCCAATCAGGTGCAAGGAAGCAAAGCAGAGCGGGAATCGGGTCTTCACCTTTTTATTTATTATATATATAAAAAATGGCTGGACCTAAGAGTACACCTATGTCTTATTAGACCTTGTTCGACTATTTTATCAATATAATAGCTCATATATTTGTTACCATAAAATCCTTTCACTATTGGTTTAATCTTAGGCCCCATAGACACGTACTCCCTCCATCTCAAATTATAAGACGTTTGACTTTTTTAGCCTCAAATTTGATCACTCGTCTTATTTAAAAAATTTGTGCAAATATAGTTAAATTTAAATCATTCTTGAAGAATTTTTATTAATAAACCAAACCACGACGAAAGAAGTGATATTTTACACAAATTTTTGAATAAGACGAGTGGTCAAAAAAGTCAAACGTCTTATAATTTGGGATGGATTGAGTACTAATTAAGCTAATATAGTTGTATGTGGATTATATTTGTATATTATTGTTGAATATACGAGAAAGATACTTATATATTGCATTTGTATCGTAGGGGAGCAAGTTGAAGAGCGTGATATAAGTTGCAAATTACAAACATGGAATGATAATCTATAGAATTAATTTCCATCTCTGACACTATGAATATGAGATAGGCTTATATATGGACTTTGAAAAGTGATAGGATGTCAAATTCCAAACCAAATAGCCTAATTTATCAAATAGATTTCAATTCCTCCAAATGAAAAGATCCAAACGACCCCTTAGCTTTATTCTATATCAGCCCCTATCAATTACATATATTTATGTATATTTGTATGAATTCAAGCTCTCTCATTTGAATCAATCAAAATCCATCTAAATTTCCTTCTTTTCATATCCTATAACATTGTCATTCTTGTAAACATTGTCCTATAACATAACAGAGTGATAGCATGCTATTCAAAACACTGTTTGTTGTTGATGTATTTTGCACATATACAGAATTGTGAGCACATTATACGGTTGTTTACCAACTCCAATTGCATATAAAATCTTAGTGCATCTACCTATATATGAAAAAAAATCCTAGACCTGACACTACAAGCCTCACCTTGAGGTCTAGCATGACCTGGTATATGAGCCGAGCTAGCCGGGCTCTTTTTGACTTTGTGCCGTGCAGATCGATTCCTTTTTGGGCTCCGTTCGCTTCGCGGAAAAAACAAATCGAAACACTGTTTCGGCTGATTTGTTGTGGGAGAAAAATACTGTTTCAACTGAAAAAATAAGCTGAAAAATACAGATTATAAGAGAAACGAACATGGTCTTGGTTGAGTCATGGTCACTTTGTTATTGACACACGTGACAGTAAAGGTCACCGTGGCTTCCACCGCGGAGAAGACTCAGCATCTGCGCGGTATGGTTAATTAGGGACGAAGCTCTATGTATGGCGAGGCATGACACTTGCCATACCTTGAATTTCCAGTGATTTCCACTTCCAAATCACTCTCTACCACAAAGATATCAAAGCAAATGAACTTTCGCTGCAACGAAGTCTCAGCCGGCGTTTTAGAGGAAGGAGAAAAGCAGCGAATCGTTTGCCTGGACCTTTGCGTCTGGGCTGCTACTATATATGGCCGTACGGGCCCTTTAGCCTTTGCCGTGGCTTTCGACCTGCGGCCAGCAGCCCAGCAGCAGCACGCCAATGCCAACCATTCACGATTTCACGTCCGTGGCACGCAGGCACGCACAAAGGCGGCCAGATCACCGTGACTCCGCGAGCGCGAGCCCCCCAGTCCTGGCGTCGCCGAGTCTCCGATACTCTCAAGCTGTTCGGCTGCTCACAGTTTCAGCATCCAAGCGAACAGGGCCTCTGCTCAAGATCAGAAAAGCAGCAACACCGATCTCCGAGACTGACTGATCAACATCAGAAGACATCGCTAGTTCGCTACACGACTCATCAGGCAAGACCAACGCGCAGTCTGCAAGTGAATCCAGAGTTAACCTGTTTATTTACTTATTTATTGTTATAGAATACTTGGATAATTAATTAAGTACTTAGTGTTAGATTTAACGTGGGCATAACCCATATTTTATTTAATAATTAAGTCGAATAAATTCTAAGGCCATATTAGATGCGAGGTGCAATAAAATGGTGGACTAAAACTAGTTGATGGCGGAACTTGTAACAATCATATTTATGGCTGCGGTTATTAGTACCTCCCATGGTTATTGTTGTAGATACTAGTAACCCCATGTTTATGGCAGAGGTTACTAATAATTGATGGACGCTTCATGATGCTCCATGACGTCCAGGTTCATCCTCTACACTTCACCTTCCACCTTCCACGATAAGAATGGTGTGCTCGCCTTCAGCTAAGCGAGAGAGACACAACATCCAGCGCCATCGTTCTTCTGTTGAGTTGCTCTCGAGTATCTCCGTCCTAATCCTCTGCGCGCACAGAAAGTTGGGAGAGCAGGACTCCGAAACCGCCGTCAGCATCCACAACACCTAATCGGGTGTGCGGGCGATCAAGTTTTTGGGGAGTGTCTCCGCGACTGCTCGCTAACTTCCTCGGGTCGTCTTCGTCTTCCTTGTGAGCGTTGTCTTCTTCCTCCTCGGATCGTCTTCTTCCTGGTGGACGTTCGAGGGACTGCACTGCGAACATCGTTGATCCGCGACATTGAGCAACGCACTATGTTGACTAATGCACATGGAGCCGCCATTGCCTTGAGCATGGGTCCCTTTGCTGGGTATACTTCTAATCTTACTGTCTCTATGTTCAGTAAGATTTTTATGCTCTTAAACATGATCAGTATGTTCATCATAGTTGCCACTAGTAGTTCATACGTGCACATATTTGTTGTCACGAATTTACTACTATTTTTCTGGATTAAAAAAACATAAAAATGCATAAATTCCTAACAATACAAAAACCTGATAATAGGTAATTTTCTGTTAGTGGTTTTGCTGCTGCATTGAGGCAGGATGATTTCGATGGTACGAACTATAAGAGATGGCGTGCTAAGATGGTCCTGTGGTTGACTGCTATAAATTGCTATTACATCGCACAGGGAAAGTCCGAACAGTTTACTCCTGAGGATGGCCGAATACATGTTGCAAACATTGGATGCATCAGAATGTTCTGCTGCCACATTAAGCTCAAAAAGCTTGACTTGCTTTCAAGATTAAGTTTTTTATCACTAGGATGCTCAACTAATAACTGCTTTAGGCAGAAGCGGAGAGCGCTCGTGGTTCAAAAAGGCGAGCACTTATTTTGTGCTGCACATGGGTGATGCGTCCATATAAAATTTCTCATATTTCTTTTCTCTTCTCTATTCGGAGTGATTGAGCTGTCCCATTGGTATTCGTAATTTTGGTCGTGTCCAATATATGGTCAAGCCTTTTGAGATATTCAATCTAAAAGCCACTTGAACACCTCTCTCTAGTCAGTGGTGGAACCAGAACTTTTGATTAAGGGGGGCTAGACAATATGATATATCTCGTAAATATGATAAATATATACAACAAGTGTATGTCTCAATAGTTTTTTCAATATTTTTACATATATATTTAGTATTTATAAGAAAAAAGACAATATTATCGTAAAAAAGGGTGAAATAATAACTTTTTTCTATGCAATTGAGTTTTTATAGGATACTAAAAAAATTTCACTGTGATTGGGGCCATGGCCCCTGCTATCCCCCTGGTTCCGCCAGTGTCTCTAGTTGTACAGTTAACAGTTTGGAGACTCACATTTTTATTCAACATTGAGATAACTCTACATGAACCGTCAGGTACCGAGGTTCGTTAACTTATTATACCCATGAACCATCACACCAGCCAACTAGGCACCCCATGCTATTTAAAACCGTCTCAATAATCAGCGGCAGATCCAGGAAATATTTTAGGGGAGCTGAACAACACTGCTGCTCGATCTTAAGTCTTAGCTCCCCTACACTATAGAATTTTGCCTAAAAATTCATAGAGGCCCCCCTACACTATAGAACTGTACAATTAGTTATTTTTTTTACATACATTTAATGCTCTATGCAAACAGCTAAAAATTGATGTGATGGAGAGAGTGAAAAAAATTAAAATTTAGAGGTGATCTAAACAAGGGCTAAAGGTGCTTTTTGTTAGAAGCATTTGGCAGGGCATGGAGCAGCTTTTCTCTCTTTCTCTGCTCCCCAAGTAGGCCTTTTTTAGATTTCAAGTTTTTTCACTTTCTCTATCACGTCAAATCTTTAACACATGCATGTAGTATTAAATGTAGATAAAAAATAACTAATTACATAGTTTGATTGTAAATTACGAGACGAATTTTTTAAGCCTAGTTAGACCATAATTAGACAATAATTATCAAATACAAACGAAAATACTACTATGCCGAATACTGATTCCTAACCGCGAACTAAACAAGGCCGTAGTCACTTTTTCTCCCCAACGCGTTCTTCACTGTTGGCTTGTGTTTTATGTCATGCCAGATCGTCAGTTCTTCTGCGGGAGACTATGAACAACTGCGAGACTATCACTCTAGGTGACGTAGAGTTTGGACGCCTAGGTGGATGCTGGGGCAGTACGCCACCTTGTTGCGTTGGGGAAGCCCTTAGATGGCTTTCAATAGCTTAGGGTGATACCTAGTTTTTGTAGATTATTTATGAGACTTGAGAAGGTTACATAAAAATATCTCTTACATTATTTGGATCTAGATGAAATCACAAGAAAATTTTAACCTGGTTGACATCTCTACTAAAGTGCCCCTAAGCCAATTACCGTTGCTAAGATTGTAAC